GATAAAAATTTGGGTGCTTGGCAACTGACTCAGATTTATGATGGTTGCAATTTTCGGGGTCATGTGATCAACTTTTGCGACCTTCTTACAAGCAAAGCCAGATTCTCTTAACAACGGTGTTACTAGCTTAATAACTGCAGTGATTCACTTAACAACTCTGGCAAGAAAGTTTGTAAAATGGGGCAAAATTCACTTAACAAATGTTTCACATAGCAACAGAAATTTTAGGCTTAATTGTGATGGTAAATCCAGGACTGCCTGTATGTATTTGGTTATAGTACATCAGACTAAATTAGAACCCCAGGGGTACCCTGGTCATCCTTTTATAAAAACTTTATTAGATGATGCCTGTAAAGTGTTTTTATTTATACATGTTTCATGCTTCACAGGGGATGGAGGAACCAGAGACAATAATTTCTTGCTGGCAAATTTGAGTATTGGTTGTCCTTGACTTAACTGACGATTAAGTTGAATTATGGATGTACGTTGTGATAGTTGCTATAAGTCACTCCGTGGCCATGCCTGATTTTATGACCTTTTGTGTGGCAGTCATTAAGTAAACATGGCAGCCACTAAGCAAAAGTGGGGTTCATTCATTAATATTGTGGTCATTAAGCAAACCCCTTTGTTTACTATGGACATTTTTTGAAGGAAACCGGAAGTACATGCCTGTTTCCAGCTCAATTGGAATTTGTGTCATGTGACTGCAGGATGCTGCAAATGGCCATAACCAGGGGTGGGTTCTACTTACCTTTATTACCGGTTTGGAATGGGATCGTGCGCGCACCAAGCTTCTGCACATGCACAGAAGTTGCTGCACATGCGCAGATTGCTTATGATGACATCTGGAGCGGTGGGTGGAGCCTCCAGCCGGTTTTACTACTGGTTCTTGCGAACCGGTCCGAACGGGGGACAACCCACCACTGGCCATAACTGTAGGCCAGTTGCTGAGTATCAAAAATGCAGTCATGTAACCATGGAGGAACAGCCATTGGAACTTTGAATCTGGGTCATAAGGACCTGTTGGGGAGTCCATTTTAACTTCAAACAGTTGCTAAGAGACCATTGTAGGTTGAGGGCTGCCTGTAAGATAATGGAGATGGATGTGAAGAATATTCCTCCAGGCCAGTAGAAGGCACCTTGTTTCAGATTCAGAGTTTCACCTTGTCTTTAGGTCCTACCCAGAGGTGGTATTCAGCAGGTTCTGACCAATTCTGGAGAACCGGTAACAGAAATTTTGAGTACTTTGGAGAACTGGTAAATACCACCTCTGAGTGGCCCCGCCCCCATCTATTCTCTGCCTCCCGAGTCCCAGCTGATCGGGAGAAGATGGGGATTTTGCAGTAACCTTCCCCTGGAGTGGCGTGGGAATGGAGATTTTACAGTATCCTTCCCCTGCCATGCCCACCAAGCCATGCCCACAGAACTGGTAGTAAAAAAGTTTGAATCCCACCACTGGTCCTACCTAGAGAAATAAAAAGTTACAACGATGGGTTGGGAATAGCCTGCAGACAATCCCCTCCTACTTCAGGCAAAGGTGGCTGAAAAATTCAGGTCTATAGTATGGGTCAGGAAAAGAAGAGGATCAGCCTGAGGTGAACCGAAGGAAGGAAAGGGAAAAGATACAGGTAGCCATTGGGAAGATGGAGTGACCACACAAAGTTGCCTGAGGAACAAGGGCTGTATTAGCACAATGCCCAAAGCTGGATTCTGGTTTTTTAACTGCCTTTGAAACATGTTGTGTGAATTCATCCAATGGAGGTTGTAAACCATAGGTGAAATGTAAAATTTGTTGCTACTGGTTCTGTGGGCGTGGCTTGGTGGCTTGGTTGGGGGGGGTCATGTGACTGGGTGGGCATGGCGAACTTTTTTTAAAAAAAATTTAAAGCATTTTTTTACTACCAGTTCGGGCAAATAGGTAGTAAAAAATGCTTTAAAAAAGTTTTAAAAAGGTTCCGACGATCGCGTGGCACAACTGATTGACAATCAGCTGTGCCACACAATCCTCTGAACCTTTTTTTTTTTTTTTTACTTTTTTAAAGCATTTTTTAACTACTGGTTCACCCGAACCGATAGTTTTTAACACTACCGATAAGCCCAAACCGGAGTGAACCAGTAGCATTTCACCCCTGTTGTAAACCCTGTTTATGGTTTTATGTTCTGTATGAACCTAGCTTCACTGTTTGTTTGTTTTTTTCAATAAATCAGGATAGATACAAGCCACAGCTAATGGCTATATATAAACTCAGCCAATATGAAGTCCTATCCCCAAAGAACTAGGCATAAAGAATTATTTTTTGAAACCTCTATTTGAATAGAAAGAGTCATTCGGGAAAATACACTATGTTGAGGAACAAAATCTTGCTACCCATTTTAGGAAGGAGGGAATTTTTCTATATGACCATTTAAATTGCCTTTATTGGACCTTTTTCTCTTTTCAATCTAATGGTTGTGGGGATTGTTCCAAAAAAATATGCTCCTTGATCTGATTTGAACAGGCAGCCTAAACTGTACAGGACTGCATATCTTTGGTTACAGACTGAAAACCACAACAAACAAACAGATGAACTCTTAAACACAAAATATAATCATCCACGTTTTCCATTTCTCTTACTAATTCACTTGTTTTGGTATATTTTTTATTAAAATCTTTTAAAAAGAAGGTACAAACTGGCACAAACTAATAGACAGTAGAAAGGAAGAAAAAATATTAAGTTTCCAATATTCTTCACAGCGGTTATAAGTACAAATATATTTTGACCTTCATATTACTCTTCTCTCTACGATCTATCCCATGTAATCAACAAAATCATGTTAGAAGACCTGAAGGGACAGACTGTCATGGAAAAAAATATGTACGGTTATTAACAATTAATATCCCCTCAATAGGATATAATAATTTCTAAATCAGGTGTAGAGTTGATGATCCTTTTGATCTCACAATAACAGTAATAGCTATTAGAAGTATGGAAGTGGAAAACAGGATGCACAACTTAGGCACAACCACACATCATGTTAGTAAATGCATGAGTGAGAGCAGAATTGGATCTTGGTGGGAAGAATTTTTGGTTTTCAAAACTTTGGTGCAAATTGACTATGACCCCAATGATGCCCTTGATGTGATGTCCCGCTGCCTGGAGGCCGTGCGGGTCTGGATGGGGAGAAATAGGCTCAAGCTCAACCCGTCCAAGACTGAATGGCTGTGGCTTCCGGCGTCCCGGTATAGTCAGCTGGTGCCATCGCTGACTATTGGGGGTGAATCTCTGTCCCCCACAGAGAGGGCTCGCAATCTGGGCGTCTTCCTGGACTCACGGCTGTCTTTAGAAGAGCACATGATGGCCATAGCCAGGGGGACTTTTTAGCCTGATCCACCAGTTGCATCCCTTTCTGGACCGGGATGCCTTGCGCACAGTCACTCACGCCTCATCACCTCCCATCTGGACTACTGTAATGCTCTTTACATGGGGCTCCCCTTGAAGAGCACTCGGAGGCTCCAACTGGTCCAGAATGCAGCCGCGCGGGTGGTTATGGGCACACCTCGTTACGCCCATGTAAGACCTCTCCTGCGCGAGCTGTACTGGCTCCCAGTGGTCTTCCGAGTGCAATTCAAGGTGTTGGTTACCACCTTTAAAGTGCTCCATGGCATAGGACCAGGATATCTACGGGACCGCCTTCTGCCACCAACAGCCTCCCACCAACCAGTTCGCTCCCACAGAGAGGGACTCCTCAGGGTGCCGTCGGCCAAGTTATGCCAGTGGCGACACCCAGGAGGAGGGCTTCTCTGTCGGAGCCCCTGCCCTTTGGAATGAATTGCCCCCGGATATTCGAAACATCTCTGATCTCCCGGTCTTTCGCTATGCCCTCAAGACCCTACTTTTCCGACAGGCGGGGCTGTCTAATTGAATGATTTTAAATTGGGTTTTAACTTTGGGTTTTAAAATTCGGCCAAAACTATTTAATGATTTTAATTAATTTTAACTATGATATTGTATATTTATGTTTTAATTTGGCTGAACACCGCCCCGAGTCCTTCGGAGGAGGGCAATATATAAATAAGATGATGATGATGATGATGATGATGATGATGATGATGATGATGATGATGCTAGTACAAACTTCTCCCTCCCCTCAATGAAGTGAATTTTGGAATGAAAATGATCAATTGCAGAATAGCAAGTTCATTCAAAGAAGGGAAACCTGCATATAACTAGAGTCCACTCTGAGTGCTTCGTATTTCCTTAGCACTGACCTCACATCTGGAGTCTGAACTGCAGCTGTATTGAGTGTCTGGTTAAGCACTTTCTTTTTCAAGGATTTTGCTTTTCCTTGTGACCTTAGAAAACCCACTTCTCAGCAACCTTTCAAATGTAAACTGATCCAAGCTGCAAGCAGAAAGCCCAGAGAATGCATTTAAATAGTGTGAGTGTCACCTGAGAGTTGACTGTTTAATTATGCAAGAATCTCAGTTATGCTCTGCCAAAGCATCAGAGTTGGAAGGTTATGGGGTCTAGAACATTATCTCCATTGAAAAAGAAAAAAGACATTCCAGAGCCAAGTATACACTTGCAAACAAAAGTTTCAGGCTTCATTCTGAAATCAGGAAATTCTTACTGACAAAGAAAAAAAGAAACCCAAATATTTATTTACAGCACTGACTGCAGATTTAGAGTCACACATTCTTAAGCTCTACTGCCTTCAGTAAAATATAAACATGCATAGACTGTAAAATGATACTGGAATAAGTTAACCAATCACTGCTGACAAACTTAATCTCTCCTCTCCAAAAGGCCTTCCCTCAACTGCTAGTGTCCTGCAAAACGCACATGATATAAGGTGCTTAGGTATGTGTATATGTATTGGATCACTAAATATAGATGGTTGGTTTGGTTTGACTTAATGTGTTTTGCAAATCCACTGTGATTTGCAAGCCATGGTTTATGGCTTAGTTGTAGTTTAATCAGTAAATCACGCTTAAATAAATCACAGTTTAACACAATCTGTGAATTTAGGCATAGTTCTGTTCTATTCTCTGGTAATACATTATAAACACAGGACAATGTTTGGACTATTTTTCATTAGAATGCCAAGGTAGTGAAGAGAACAACAATTTTAAGCTCCCATGCTTCTTAGCAGCTTATTGAAGACAGTCCAGAATTTCATTCAGAAACTTATCTGAGTCCTAGAGTAAGATCTGTGTTTTTCCCTAACTTCCTCACTAATACAGGTCACCCATAACTTCCTGATTGCAGGAATGAAGGACATTTTCCTCTTCCCCCTCCCAGTCCATTGTTTTCCTGCTTTGCTTCAAAACTGCTGTTTTCTCATTTGAACTGTCTTCAGCTCTTCAGAGTAGATGGTTTCCAATGCTTTGTTCTGTTCTAGTAGCATCCTCAGCTCTGATTAGCTCCAGTGCCTCCAGTGGGTTTAATCAATGCCTGGGCATCCATTTTGTGCTGGGCTGGATGTTCCCTACAGTTAAAATAAACTTGCAGTTTTCAAGCATGCACTATTGAGACAATAACCTGTTCTCAGACTTAGAAGGCCATATGTCATTCACTTATTATTTTCCTGTGCTTACTGGTTCTGTGGGTATGGCTTGGTGGGTGTGGAAGGGGAAGGATACTGTAAAATCTCCATTCCCACCCCAGTCCAGGGGAAGAATACTGTAAAATCTCCATTTCCTCCCGATCAGCTGGGACTTCGGAGGCAGAAAATAGATGGGGGTGGGGCCAGTCAGAATTTTTACTATTGGTTCTCCGAACTACTCAAAATTTCCGCTACCGGTTCTCCAGAACTGGTCAGAGCTTGCTGAAACCCACCACTGGTGCTCATGCTTTCTGTTTCTGCTCAGGTAGCGTGAAATATCTTGCTCTCCCATGCCACACTCACAGTACCACAAAGCTTCCCTTTATCTTCTTAAAAACATCTTTAGGTCTCAACAAACTTGCTTTGTTTCTGTTAAGTTTTTCCTTGCTCGAAAGTTTTCATGAACTTACAGAGGCACCAAAGAACAAGGTGTTCCCTAATGCTTTGATTATTGTATCAACTAGGATGATATATTAGGAAAAAGGGGAGGGAGTCTGTGTTGGTGTCAAATGAGATAAATGTTGGAAAGGGCAGTGAATGCATCCATGTGTGCAAATAACTGGGAAAGCAAAGTAAACAACAGGGACTAGTCAGAAAGGAACAATCCCTAAAATGGAAAAGACACACACTGGTAGAGCAGTCTACACAAAAGCCAGTCAATTAGGGTTGCTTTCCTGAATGAATAAGTGAGGCCAAAAAGCAGAGGGAACAGCGAATCCTATACAGTATTGTGGTGCTTGGACTCAGCATCACCTCACTGCAAGCTGCACTGAAATTCAATTTTCTGAAGTAGGTTTAAGATGCAGCAGGGGAGACCAGCAGGCTGCAGTACAGAATTGTCCTTAAAACAAGTATGTCCTCCTGAGTCATCTGTTGGCCCTTAACTGTGGCTCTGTCCTTGGGGACTAGCCAATATTACCTCTGAGCTTAGCGTTTTCTATGTTAAGATTGCCAAATCTGGATCCACCAAAGTGTATGTGGGTTTCAAATGCTGCTGAATGGAAGCTTTTAAATTAAATGTAGAGAAAATAATCCAGTTATCTGTAATTAATGGAACACTTTTTATCATTTTTGTCCTGGCATAGTTCCCTTTCTTGGAATGTATTCACCAGCATGTGATGTGATTCACAACCCAAGTGCAATCTTCAGTCTGACAAGGTTTACACAGCCGTCGCCATTCGTACATTAAATGCAGAATGCTTGAGCATCAACGTCCCTCAACTCCTATGATCATTATTTTAGGGCTTTATATCTCTCCATTGTTCTTCTTAGATAATAGGCCATTAAGTTTGCATGCTTAATTTATTGAGGGCATGCGATAGGCATGTACCAGCTGATAATATGTCATGTAATCACAACATTTAGGAAGTTTGTTATTTATTTATTAAATTTATATGGCTTCCCATTCATTTGCATAATTAGGCAAGTAACACTTAAAAACAAAATAAGTTAATAAAAAACAGCCAAATTTAAAAACATAGAAACAATATAATACAGCAGCTGAAAAACTTAGTTAACACAACCAAAATCAAGAAATAAGTTCACGTATACTATCATAGCGTCAGGCTTTATGGCAAATCCCAGGTTTTTAATATCTTGTGAAAGGATAGGTCAGGGAAAGTCTAATTTCTAGGGGAATTATGTCATAAAAGGGCAGGTCCCAGGGCAGAAAGCTGTCTTCCTAGACCCTGCCAGATAGCACTCTCTTGTAGAAGGGATCTAGAGCATGACTTTCCTGCCAGATCTGACAGGATAGGTAGCCATTATTGGGGAAAGACAATCCCACAGGTAGCCAGCCCCCAAGTCATGATGGCTTTAAAGGTATCCACCAGCACCATTAGTTGTACCTGGAAATATACTGTAGCAGTGGTGAAATCCAATTTTTTTTACTACCGGTTTTGTGGGCGTGGCTTGGTGGGTGTAATGTGGTGTGGCTTGGTGGGCATGGCAGGGGAAGGATATTGCAAAATCTCCATTCCCTCCCCACTCCAGGGAAAGGATACTGCAAAATCTCTATTCCCATCCCACTCCAGGGGAAAGACATTGCAAAATCTTCATTCCCACCCCACTCCAGGGAAAGGATACTGCAAAATCTCCATTCCCACCCCACCCCAGGGGAAAGATATTGCAAAATCTCCATTCCCACCTAACTCTGGGGCCAGCCAGAGGTGGTATTTGTTGGTTTTCCAAACTACTCAAAATTTCCGCTACCGGTTCTCCAAACTGCTCAAAATTTCTGCTACCGGTTCTCCAGAACCTGACAGAACCTGCTGGATTTCACCCCTGTACTGTAGCCAATTCATCTTAAGCAGTCACATGTGCTAAGCAACTGGGGCAACATTTTATACCGCTGAAGTTTTGCAGGAATTGCAGGAATCCAAATAGTGCCATATTGTGGCCTGAATTCACTAATGTGGTATAATTGATATGATGTTGGGCTAGAATTGAAGTTTACTTCAAGTCTACTCAAAACTCAAGCCATCAAAACTCAGTGTTCTCATTGGGTTATTGTGGTGGGGAATGATGCCAAATGCCACTTTGAGTCTTAGTCATAAAAGTAATTCAATACAACATACAGTAATTGAATTACAGTTGTACCTCTTCTCTAAATGCCCTTGATTCTATAATAGTACATGATGTTATTACAGATTGGATTTATCCACATAAATCAATATTTATTATTTCATTTTATTGATTTTACTTGGAACCACGCATTATTGACTCTTTATGTATTGTAAGATGGCTTACAAATAGGCTGAAGTAAAGTTCAATTTCAACATGTACATGTGCTTAAGACCATTAATTGACTCTTTTATTGTAATTCATTTAAAATAGTCTGACATAGTAAAGTCAAAGACATGACATTTAAGATTTGTTATGCACAAGAATATTTCTACTGCATTGTAGGAGTTCATTGTTTTGCCAGGTCCTTGCTTATCTGTATATTAATAAATAAAATACTTGGGTGGGCAAATGTGTGGCATCTGAGGGGATATCAGTAATATATTTCACATATAACCACTTCTCTTCTCTCTGTATACCAATGACTGCATCTCTAACGATCCATCTGTTAAACTACTGAAGTTCGCAGATGACACAACAGTGATCGGTCTCATTTGAGACAATGATGAATCCGCATACAGATGGGAGGTGGAACAACTAGCCTCGTGGTGCGATCGGAACAATCTGGAACTGAACACACTCAAAACCATAGAAATAGTGGTAGACTTTAGGAGAAACCTTTTCATACTTCCACCTCTCACAATACTAGACAACACAGTATCAACAGTAGAGACCTTCAAACTTCTAGGTTCCACCATATCGCAAGATCTAAAATGGACAGCTAACATCAAAAACGTCATCAAAAAAGCACAGCAAAGAATGATCTTTCTACGCCAACTCAGAAAACTCAAACTGCCCAAGGAGCTGCTGATACAGTTCTACAGAGGAATTACTGAGTCTGTCATCTGCACCTCTATAACTGTCTGGTTTGGTTCTCAACCCAACAAGACAGACACAGACTTCAGAGGATAATTAGAACTGCAGAAAAAACCATTGCTACCAACCTGCCTTCCATTGTGGACATGTATACCGCATGAGTCAAAAAGAGGGCTGTGAAAATATTTACAGACTCCTCAAATCCTGGACATAAACTGTTTCAACTCCTACCCTCAAAACGATGCTATAGAGCACTGCACACCAGAACAACTAGACACAAGAACAGTTTTTTCCTGAACACCATCACTCTGCTAAACAAATAATTCCCTCAACACTGTCAAACTATTTACTAAGTCTGCACTACTATTAATCTTCTCATCGTTCCCACCACCCATCTCCTCCTACTTATGACTGTATGACTGTAAGCTTGTTGCTTGTATCTACAATTTATATTGATATTGTTTCCTGATTGCTTATTTGTACCCTATGACTATCATTAAGTTTTGAACCTTATGATTCTTGATGAACGTATCTTTTCTTTTATGTACACTGAGAGCATATCCACCAAAGGCAAATTCCTTGTGTGTCCAATCACACTTGGCCAATTAAAAAAATCTGTTCTATTCTATTCTATTCTATTCTATTCTATTCTATTCTATTCTATTCTATTCTATTCTATTCTATTCTATTCTATGGGCAGCAGCAGCTCATTTAGCTGTTTCTATCTTTCTTAGTCTTCGTGTTAGTTTTAACAATGCTTATAACCAGCTGAAAATTTGTAATCCAACTTTGGGCATTGCACCAATGCAGCCCTTGTTCCTCAGGCAACTCTCTAGTCATTTCCCAAATTTCAGTTGGAATTACACAACTTGAAAAAGTTGAATGGAATTTATCCAAGCCAAAAGCTTTTATTCTTGCAGCTTCTCACTAAAGCAAGTAGCCACCCTGAATGACTAAAGAGAATGCTACACATTTACTAAATTGGCTTGATATCTTAATACACTGGGCTCAACCACACTTGTAATTGTGGCTGGATTTACAAAACATGCTGAGGCAAAATCCACATTTTGACATGTAGTTTTTCTCGTAGTCAAATCCAATCCTTTCCTCATGAACAAACAGTTGCTTAACTTTAAAGTTTTCCTTAATCCAGCTGTGTTGCTTCTTGGCCGCCCTCTGGTGATAATCCAGATTTTGGTAGTGCACATCTGCTCCCCCATAACCCTAGATTCGTCTAGTTTCCATAGAATATGTTTCATACATAATTTATTCTACCAACTGTGAGAGACTACTGGATTTGTGAAAAGATAGTTCAGCTTCAGGCTTCTCAGGCTTATTTATGAGGCTGATGCCCCACCTTAAAGAGAAATTCAACAAAGTTGAACAAATTTCCTCTTCCTCCTTTTTTACGGCAGCCATTGTTTTCATAGTATTTTAAGGTAAGTTTATTAAATTGGGGGTCCATTGCATGGAAATTTAGCAGTTCAAAAAAAATCTTATTAATGTAACAACCCTCAAGAACAGCAACCTGTTACAACATTTAGAACTAGGGGCAGGGTTAGAAATCGATTGTTCTAACTTAACACGTGTTTCACTTTATGCTTTCGCGTCTACAACTCAGTAAAAGAAGGAAATGTCCCAAATATTTTTTTTTTTAAAAAAAAATCAGTCCACACTTAGACCATGGAGTAACCCAACATCTCCACAAGTCCACGCGCAACATTCCACCCGCGCGCTACCGCGAGTGCTAAAACGCCCTTCGGGCCGTCAATCACTCCCCAGATTGACATTCTCCTCCTCCAATCAAGCAGATTTCCAGCTGGCGGGAGGCGGAGTGAGCTTCGATTTCCCCACTCCCGGCAGGCAAGGGCCAATCAGGGCAGTGGCTACAAAAAAAATGGGGGCGAGTAATTCGCCGCTCCCGCTCTCTCGGCTTTAGAGCTCCGCCCCGGTTGAATGGGGAGGAGGCGAATGGACCTCGCGCGGTAGGCGAGCGCAGCCTGTCGCTACGTGCGGTGCCCGGGGCAGGTGGAAGGAGGGACTGCGGGGCCGCTGCGGCTTCCCCCCACGCGCTGACTCGGAAGGGTCGGTGCTCGGCCGGTGGCTGCGGTAAAAGCGCCGGAGAGAAAGGAGATTGGGCGGGATTCGCCCTGCCCGGCTGCAGCCTCCCAGAAGTGCGGACCGACGGAGGTCTCGAGGGTCGTTCTTCTGCTGCGACAGCGGCTGGCGGTGGAGCCCAGCAGCAGGTGAGGCGACCGAAAAGCGACTGTGCCGCGTTCTTGCACTGGGCTTTACAAGAGACGGCGGAGTTTAGTGGTGGCCCGGCTATAGCAAAGGCGGACTTGGGTTCCCACGACCCACCGAACCTCTCCCGACCTGACCCGCATTTTTGGAATCCCAAAAAGATACAGGCTTAGTTTGACTCGATGTGTGTGCTATGTTAACTTCCTGGGTTGATTTGGCGCGCCATAGTGGTGGCTAAGTTAGCCACGGGTATAAACGTGTAAGCGTGATGTCAAATTGGTCGTGAGAATGAGGTGTAGATGTAGATGGTGAAGGGTTTAAAGGTGTGAGAAAATGTCTGGTTTCTTCAGCTAGTGACACCGTTACATAAAGGAAGAGGCTCTGAAATAAAAGGAGGCAGTAATGGGAGTTGTGAGTGGGGTGTCTCTCCTCTTCTTGCATCAGGCACATGCAATTTGGTCTTCAGCCTTGAATAAACGATGCAAGATATGCTTTCACCCCTAAAATATACCTTTAGCAACAGGAGATCTAGTAAATATATCCTGTTTTAAATTAATACCAGCCTGTTCATAAGGCATTTATTCAGTGCTAGAGTATAGAATGGGACTGAATTTCTTACTGCCCAAATTCTTACCCTATTGCTTTCTATAGTGTATTAAGTATGATTTTTATACTTTTTAGCATGCTTTTACATTTAAAGATGAAAATACAAGATAATAAAATTTAATAGTCAGCCAGAGTATAATATTTGGCCTAGTTTCCCAACTAGAGTTGGGTTTGCAAACATACTAAAACTATGGGTGATTTTTTAAATTTATGGCTCAGTTATTGTGCAAATCAAGCCATATGATATGTTTGATTCTTTTGTGTCGTCAAATCCAGGCTGATCAATTTACTATGTAACCCATGTCTTAGTTCACTTATGGCTTAGCATCTCCTTACTACCACAGTAGCTAGACTACTGTGACTTGTTCAGGACCACATAATTCTAAGAAATCATGCATTTATGGGAAATAGCTGTTTATTCCTGCAATACCCAAGAAGCAACATGATAAGTGGAACAGTATTATTCCATATGGTTTCTTTCTTGGGCAGTCTGTGTGATGTTTTTATATGGAGGTACTCCCACAATTATTATGTTTATAGTGGTTTAATATGATGGCATTGTTTTAATTATTGGTTGTACACTGAAATATGTTCAGTGGGATGAGTGGCCATATACATATAAATAAAGCAAATGAGGACAAGAGTGGAATTAACAGCTTTCATGATGGTGATCACTGTAATGGTATTTTTTCACCTGAAAAATGTCCCTAACACTGATACAGACAGTAATTATATCTTTATTTTGTAAGTATAGCAGTGCTTTGCACTACTAAAACCAAACACATTTTAGGCACAAGATTATATAACTCCTGACAGACCAGACATGTTTTCTCTCATAGGTGTCTGAATGATGGAGAGGAAATTGTTTCCAAGAGCATAGGACATTTTCAGATTTAATATTGATATTGCATCCTGTATTTCTCAAACAACTATGTTTATAATGTTTAGTTACAGGGTCAAATTGTGTTTTCATTGTTTAATCTGCAGCACAGAAAGCAGATGAAGCAAAATAGTCACAAATCTATGTGGCAAAAGGTTTCTCTCTCACCTGGAAAGGTTCTAAGAGTGCCTGCTATGATGCGTAAGCTTAAGACCCTATCCCCTTTTTTTCCTGCATTATTTTAATGACAACATATTTATGCATATTTAATTAGATAAAGGCCGAGAATGTTAAGGTACACTTTAATACTAAAGGAATTAATTTTTCAAATGTCTACTGTCCATAACTGTCCTATTTTAATTTTAGTATTTTGTTTAATACAGTACAGTGTTATCTTTCTTTCAAAAAGAAATTATCTTTAGCTTGCTGATTGTAATGTTTTGTTTATCGATATGAAGGATCCAAACCTACATTTTTATATAGTTGAATATTAATTTTAATAATCCATCACATCATTTAGCAGTGAAAGGTTTTTCTTGTAAAATTAAAACAGGCAATACTGGAAAACATACAGCATAGTTCAGGAGCTATATATTTTAAAAGTTAAGAAGAACAGGAGGAAAAACCTGTTTTAAGATCTGACAAAACATTACACATTTTGAATCATAAAACTAAAAATAACAGCAGAGAAACTGTTCTTTTTTCACTTGCATTCAAAAAGGGGCAAGGAAAAGAGTAATTTTAAGTTGTGTAAGACAAAACTGGAGATTTATAAACGTAGAATTTGAAGTAGATTTCATTATTTAGCAATGGATACAAATATTGTCTGAGGTCACCTTGTACTTAATGTATTTAGGGCAGGATTGTGCATCCAGATTCATCTCAAGAGCCAGGTTATTGCTTCAACACATACACACTTTGTGGCTCAATATTGGAATTTTTGAAATATCTTTTGATATTCCATTTTCCATTAAGACAGACCAAAGGGATTGTTGCTTTCTTTTGCAGTAAGGATCTTTACACTTTTTGGTATTGGATTGGATCATTTAGGTAACAGGTCCTTATACAGGTATTCCTCGAGTTGTTATCACTTGTTTAGCAACCATTCAAAATGAACACTGAATGAGAGAGGCTTGTGACTGGTTTGTGAAATTGTAGCTATTGCAGGGTCCCCATGTTCATATATATGACCTTGTTCTGGGTGCTCTGGCACCTAGATTACGATTACGAAGTTACAGTAAACTGCAGTCAGGGGATTGCCATTTGCAGCCTTTCTTGCCTGCTTCACACAAGCAGAGATTTTCCCATAAGTCTGCTTTTTTCTTTCAGAAATTGTGACATTTCAAGGAGTTCCACTGTGGAGTACAAGATCCATAGCACCCTGCTTCTGGCCCTCACTGACCTACTTACACTTCTCATCACCCACCAATCGTCTTTTTTCTTCATTGGCCTACCTGCACTGCCAGTGCCTGCCTGTGGCATCCCACCATGCTCCTTATTTAGGACTCCAACCTCTTCCCACTTAATGACCTGAACATTCTGGGGTTACGATAGCAACAGAGGCGGCCTGAATTGCCGTTGCTAAGGAGTGTGGTCATGTGACATCATGCTTTATGACCACATTGCTTAATGATGGCAATTGCAATTCCAATTTTTGTGAGTTCCATGGGATATATTGTAGCTTCTCCAGTGTGGATTTAGATAGGATTACATGGCAGGGTTAGCACTGCATCTGTTATCTGGCAAGAGTAGAGAATCAATCAATGTGATCTGTTGTGATCTCTGCCCTTTCATGGATTCTGTCCTTGTCTTTTAAAACTTTGCTGTATCTAGTTCAGTTTAAAAGGGGGAGGGAACCAGTGACTGACTTGCTCCCTGTTGCATCTGACATATTAATTCTTCAAGGAATTTTTTCGTGTATTGCCTAAAGCCTTATGATGGTGACAGCATGTACACATTGTAAAATAAGTTATGACATTAGAAGAAAGCCAGAGAATTGTCTGTCAAAGAAATTGCACGTTCACTCTTTTCTTCCCTGTGACCTATTATATATTTCCCATTGTGCTTTCCATTCAATGCTGTTGCAGTGTTTTTCCTGCCAAGGAGCTACAAGAAATGTGGGAACTGGTTATGGAGGTAACTTTATTTATCGTGATTGTAACAAGATGGAAAGTCTGAGTAACTACTTGGTGTATTGAAATATAAACAGGTGGTCCTTGCTTAACAATCACACATTCAGCGCCCTTTCAAACTTAATAACAGCACTGACGGAGTGATATTTAAGACTTGTCCTTGTACTTAGGATGGTCATGTAGTTGCCATTTGCAACCTTCTTTGCTGGCTTCCTACAAGAAAAATCAATGGGGAGCAGGGTGGATAAAAATCAATGATTTTTTTAAAAAAATAAAAAAAATCAGATTTTTTTTATTTAAATCGGATTTTTTTTTTTTATCGAATTTATTTTAATAAAAAACTTTGGGGGTAAAAATCTATCGTAAAGTAATTTTCTATTTAAGATACATAAATAATTTAATTTATTCAGCATGAAATGGAGCTTAGTTATGTAGCATGAGGCTGTATATTCTGCAACACTGGGACTATCAGTGAGTCGACAGTGGGTCAAAGGAGTAGCAGAGATGACAGTTGCTCTTTAAAAATTATGATTTAAATCGAGTTGATTTAAATCAAGCCTTTTTACTAGTGATTTAAATCATGATTTAAATCAACTCGATTTAAATCAAATCCACCCTGATGGGGAATCTGGAAGATGCTGGAAGATGCGATTCCAAGAAGGATTCTCTTAATGGCAACTAGAATGCTGGAGTTTCCCTCACTAAAGCAATGTGGTCATGTGAATTCGCACTTTACAATTGTGTCACTTAGTTATGGAAATTCCGGTCACAATTACTGCTGTTAAGTGAGGACTAACTGCATGGAGAAGTAGTATTTCTTTTCTTTTTTTAACCCCTTCCTCACATTTAGTTTGTTTGAGCCTAATGCTCTCTCCTTACCTGAGCAATTTGAACTCTGATTCAGTGGTGAAATCCAATTTTTTTTTTACTACCAGTTCTTGGTTCTTGGCTTGGTGGGCGTGGCAGGGAAAGGATATTGCAAAATCTCCATTCCCACCCCACTCCAGAGGAAGGATATTGCAAAATCACCATTCCCTCCCCACTCTGGGGCCAGCTAGAGGTGGTATTTGCCAGTTCTCCGAACTGCTCAAAATTTCCGCTACCGGTTCTCCAGAACCTGTCAGAACCTGCTGGATTTCATCCCTGCTCTGATTGTCTTCCTTTTATTTCAAGGCATCCAAGCCATTCTATTTTCCCATGTAATCACTGCCATTCCCATTTCTTTTTTCCTCTGTTGAAATAATCACTGGCATTGATTATGGGTAACAGGGATGAAGTTATGGAAAATTGCTAGAGATGAAATCAAAGGCTGTGATCCTATATATGTATTCCTGGAAATAGTTCATGGGGCAAAAATGTAGAACTTTATTCTCCTCAGATGCAAAATAGTATTTGTCACTTACATTTTGACATAACCCATATTACGGAGTGGGTGAAAAAGATTGCTACCTTAACTCAGTTCAAAGAAAAAAGAATGACACAATAGATGAACTTGTAGATGTTCATCTGCAAGTATTATTGATAGTCTTTCATTGAACAGGGCAGAAGAACCAGTTTTCTTAGACACTGGCCTTTGCCAGCCCAATTACCTAAGATCTTTTAATTAGAAATGGGTACGTGAGATTAAATATTACTTTTACGCACAACCAACAGGTTCATCTCTAGGTTTTCCTGAATATTCTTTATGGGCAGATTTAATTCACATCCTTTTAAAACGTAGCTGACATCTCTTATTCATGTGTGATATTGAATAGCTTTGTGTCAGGTCAAGTCGAATGATTCACATTGTTACAAAGCTATTGTGTTAGGTATAAAGTAAAATTATCCATTTGCGTTGTTCATCTTAATAATTAATGGATATTGTCTCTGGCAATTTGTGCACTGTATTTCGACCTTTGTTTGCCACGGTTGTTAAGCAAATCACATAATCATGAAGTGAATCTAACCTTCCTCATTGATTTTGTTTGTTGAGAATGGCAGGGAAGGTAGCAATGGTGATTAACTGACTCTGGGATATGGGAACTGGCACAAATCGTGACTATGGGGATACTGTGAGAACTGGCCATAAGTAACTTTTTTCAGTGTCGTAACTTCAAATGGTCACTAAACAAATGGTGGTAAGTCAAAGACTATCTTTTTCTTTTGTTTTATCCACCATTGCTGTTTCTGGCGGGGAAAAGATAGAGATTTCATTTTAAAATGGTTTATGGTGAGTTTTTCTTACCTTCAAGTACTTGAAAAAAATCTGTAAAATTAGGAAGAGGATAGCCAGGTAATTGGTAAGAGGAGAGGCAGTCAGCTATCTATTGTTAAGTGGGATTCTGCTTTGGTGAAGTGGTAATTGATGAGCTTTTATAGCTACTGAAAAGTGGATGAGCCGAGAATACAGCACTATTTCATTTATTTATGAACTGAAATATTTGCAAGGAGAAGACTGCTATTACCTTGTAATTTACAGAACTGTGTTTTTTTGCACCATCCAAATTATGCAAAGTAACCCTTGATCTATAAATGAATGAAACAACTTCTACCAGACTCTAGGAATGGAATCAATGACTGATTTTAAATCAATGAAAGCAACATTTAAGGAGTAGGAGTATGGGTGCATGTATTCCTCTAGTAAAACAGCAAGGTAACATATTGATCTATAGTCAACTTGTCTTCCCTAAAGCTGACTTGTTTTTATCGGTAGTTAGAAATGTATTTCATTTTTATTTTATTTATTAATTATTTGTAACCAATCCAGAAGCTTTTGGAAGAAAATGCATGCATATATTTTATCGGAACGCTTGGAGACCGATCCAACAATATTTGGAAAGATCTTTAAAAAATGAAACAGTAATAGAATAATTCTTGTTTTTAGGAATTTGGAATGTGTAATTAATATATGCGAATAAAGATATTGTAAAGGGAGCCCATCTGTTTCCCTTACTTTTTAGTACTTCAGAAGTTATCAAGTTAGTACTAGAAATTTTTCCCATCTTTAATGGTTTAATTTAACAATTCCCAGATAGGAAACAGATAGCCAAGGAAGAATACTGTTTCAAGGATGCAGTTAGATAGTTATTGGGGAAGAACCTATATTGTATAGCTTGGCTTGCTGTAAATCTCTTCCATGTTTTGAACAGAAACTCAGTTTCAGGCTAAACCATCCTATTAGGGGAACAGCTTGCAATTACTATATTTTTGAAAAAAATAACTGACTTGATATAGCATTTTTCTGTCACTCTTGTACTTTAATTGCTATTGCATTTCCCATGCTAATCAACCCACTAAAATATAAAAGCAAAACATGATAATTTTATGTTGCCAAAACCAGAGGTTAACTTTAGATAACAGTAATCATTTTTTTAAAAGAGTTAAGATTTAGTCTCACATTCTTAAAGTCCTTCAGATAGGTTTTTTAAATAATCATCTTGTTATAGATCTTATTCCTGAATGGTCATATTAGCTATTTAAAGCTTTAAAGCTTATTTAAGAGTACAGAACAGGTATGCTATCTTTTCTGTCTCCTTTGGAATGCATAGCATCATTGGGCAACAGTTTTTGAATCAAGATACCTCAAATGGGAAAACTTGAAAAATGGATCCAAAATCTGATATCCATGACTCCTGTGGGATTGAAATTTATCAAATTTGTGGAAACTTCAGTGCTGCTATGTTGCCATGTAGTGGTTCAATAGTCCTGCCCTAGCCTTTTGGAGGCCAGATTGATTGGCCCCTCCTTTGGCTGGTGGAGATAATTAGACTGATCCTGCCCTAGCCCTCCAGAAGACCAGTAGACTGGCCCACTATTAGCTGCTAGAGGCACTGTCAGCTGGTCAAGCTGGTAGGAAATCAGAAGTTGCTGCTACTTGCACTGGTTTTTTTGCCCTTGGCCATTCGGTTTCACTGTTTAGTTAAGAAAATATCTCTGAAACAATAATCCAATTGAGCCACAGGTTGTCCATAAAAAAATAGCTGGCAAGAATTGGTTTGATAAAAAGAAAGAAATAAACCCACATAACCCAACAGGATATGATTCACAGTCACCAAAAATCTGGGTAAAGAACCATTTTCAAGGCCCTTGGAAGTATCTGCAGCATAGGGCCATCTGGATCTTGGGTGGACCTCATTCTAGAGCCGTGATGGCGAATCTATCACACGTGTGTCACAGCTGGCACACAGAGCCCTCTCTGTGGGCACGTGAGCCATCGCCCAGCTCAGCTCCACCACGCATGCGTGCACTGCTACAGAGAAAGCTCGTTTAATTGAACTCTGGACTCCATCAACCCTGTTAGATGGAGTTGGTCAGACAAATAATAGGCAAACCCTCAAGTAACCATTATCTATGCTATGTAGGGCTTCATAGGT